GATCAGCCTTAACTTTAAAACCACTGACAGGTGACAGGTGAATAACATTGATTATCTCATTCCAATGGCACTTGTCAAGGGTGCCGTTATATATTAGGCTAGTGAACAGTCAGTTCTTGAAGTTGGTAAGGATCTGGGCAACTGTAACAAGGGCCAAATGGTGATGCCTATAAGACTGGGTCAGAGCATCTCCAAAAGGGTAGGTCTTGTAGGGTGTTCCTGTTATGCAGTGGTCAGTACCCACCAAAGGTGGTCCAAGGGAGGCAAACCAGTGAACCAGCAATGGGGCCATGGGCACCCAAGGCTTACTGATGCGCGTGGTGAGCACACGCTAGTCCATCTGGTCAGATCTGGTCATAAGAACATAAGAACTATACAAACGAGAGGAGGCCATTTGGCCCATCGAGCTCGCTTGGGGAGAACTTAACTAATAGCTCAGAGTTGTTAAAATCTTATCTAGCTCTGATTTAAAGGAACCCAAGGATTCAGCTTGCACTACGTTATCAGGAAGACTATTCCATACTCTGACTACACGCTGTGTAAAAAAGTGCTTCCTTAAATGTTCCAGTTTGAAATGTTCTCCCGCTAATTTCCACCTATGGCCACGAGTTCTTGTATTTGAACTAATGCTGAAGTAACTATTCAGTTGAACAGCATCCAAACCTGTTAGAATCTTATAGACCTGGATCATGTCCCCCCTCAGTCTCCTTTGCTTGAGGCTACTGAGCTACTATAGCACAAATTGCTGAAAAGCTATTGCTGACTGTGATAGACAGGTGTCAGAACACACAGTGCATCACAGCTTGCTGTGCATGTGGCTGCGTAGCCATGGACAGGTCAGAGTGCCCATGCTGACCCCTGTCCACCGCTGAATGTGTCTACAATGGGCACATGAGCATCAGTGCTGGACCATGGACCAATGGAAGACCGTGGCCTCGTCTGATGAGTCATGTTTTCTTTCACATTATTTGGACAGCTGGGTGTGTGTGTGTCATTCGTCTGGGGAAGAGGTGGCACCAGGATGCACTATGGGAAGAAGGTCAGCCGGTAGAGGCAGTATGGTGGTCTGGGCAAAGTTCTGCTGGGAAACCTTGGGTCCTGGCATTCATGTGGATATTATTTTGATGCATACCACCTACCAAAACATTGTGCAGATCAAGTACACCCCTTCATGGCAACGGTATAAAGCTTTTTAGTTAGCAAATTAGACTCTCCACTAACTTTGAAAACCATTAGCGTAACAATTAGCTTCCACTAAATTTAGTTCTACTAACTGTAAATCTGCTAAAAAATTTTGCAGGTAAAGTGAATAAAGTTTAAAGGTCAAAAACATTTGTAAACTCTAAAATCATACGTTTGTTGCTGTTTGTTATGATCCTGTATGTCTGTCTGGTGAGCTGTTAGCCAGGGTTGGGGCCATTCCGGAATGCATTGATCAATTCCAGTCCAAATCAGGAAATGGAACTGGAGCTGGGATTGGAAAAAAACTACAGGGAACAGAATTGGAGTTGAATTTGAATTTCAGGGAGATTTAAGTTCCAACTCTAGTTCCATTTCCTGATTTGGACTGGAATTGATCAATGCATTCCGGAATGGCCCCAACCCTGCTGTTAGCTGAATATGTGTAAACACAAGACATGATTAGGCAATAACTTGTCAGATTGAAGATAGTCTGGGCTAAATGTAAGTGAACGAAGAAAAAGCCAATTTAAACTGGGGTACCATGAACTAAGCAGAAAACAGGGGCTTACACCACAAAGCAGGATTACTTGCTTAGCTGGATAACTTGTCGATTTTAAAGCACCCTAGTTTAAATGGACTTTATATCTTTGTTCACTTACATTTAGTCCAGACTACCTTAAATCTGACAAGTTATCTAACCCTAACCCTAACCCTAACCCTAAGAAATCTTCTTCGTGATACAGGACCCCAGTTGTATTTTCCAGCTTATGACTGACAGAGCTATAGACCAATAGAGCTGAAACCCTCCTTCCTAGTTCTGGATAAATGGCACCATGTTTGTAGTCCCAAAGCGGCTTCACTGAGGTCAAAATGTCAGCATGGGCTAGTTGCAAATTGTTGCTTGTATCTTGCAAACAGAATACCATGGAAAAAAAAATTCAATGCAGATTTATTCCGGAGACTCTAAAAAATCCAACGATACCCAATTGGGTAAGTCCTAAGCTTCCCTTGAGAATCACTCTAGTCCAACAGATGGGATTTCAGTGTTAATCAGGTTAAAATTTTAGCTTTCTAGGTATGTTTTTACCAGTTTTAGAGCCTAAAACCAAACCAAAGTTAAATTCATATAATAAAAGTTCTAATATCATTAGCTTCCACTACATTTTTTTGCAGTTTACTGGTTATCAAAGATAATTTTTGGATAGCCATGCCCACCACTGCACAAGGGGGAACTACACAATATTAGTCACATGCTTTTAATGTTATGGCTGATTGATGTGTGTCCTTCAGTGATTGCAATACTATCAAATAGCAGGGGAACACCACTGCACAAGGGGGACCTACACTACACCACTACACTACACCACTGCACAAGGGGGA